TTTAAATTGCCCAGACATGGGTACTCGGACGTTTAAGGCTAGGAATCAGGCATGGGGGGCGGCAGGCGTAGGACGCCTGGGTTAGGTACTGTAGCATACTGTAACCCCCCGCTGCCACGAAGTCAGGGCCGCCCATACCTGTGCTGTTTAGGGTTAAGTGTTCTGAGGGTCCAAGTACCGAATAGTTTGGTATTTGGGTGTTGGGTAGTACTAATTATAGTTCAGGTTTCGGGGAAGTATACGATTATTAGGTACTTGGAACCGCCCCTTGTCCCCAGCGCAATATACAACTCCTCACAAATATTGAAGTTCCCCATTATGGTATACCACAATTATAAACTTGGAACATGGAACGTTAGGGGGGGTAGAGGTTTTTATTGTCGCGGAAGCGGGGTTAGCTGTGACTATATAAACAGGATCCTTTTCTTCCTAGGGTAATGTGGGCTAAGAAACCCCAGACTCGAACAACAACCTGAGCCCCAAACAAGTCAACCATGAATCCTTCCTAGTCTGACCCGGAAGACCTTAATACCCTAACCAGAAACCCTAAACCAACGCCCTACACCGACCCCCCATCATTCTGGCAAGATGCAGGGAAGGAATGCCAATGCCTTGTTGGCTGAAGGGCTTGGAGTTTACAGATTAGCGCTCAGGATTTGGAGTTCAGAGTTTGGGGAGGGATTTCGGATACGGGATTTGGGGTCAGAGATCGGGGCCTAATGGGTCAGAGTGTCAGGTTCAGGGTTTAAGCTTGAGGCAAACCCAAACTAGGGTAGCTGACCTTCTGTTTCTCAACAGCACTCCAATCTGTAGCGACTCAATGTCCTAGTGCATGGCTCGGACCATTTGACAATTTTCTGAGACTGGGGCTTACACCTAAACCCTGAACCTAAACCTTAAGGTACCAAAAAACAATGATCCATCAATCTAGGGGCTTTAAGAATGACCTTGAGTGGGGACCCGGCTAGGGTGTATAATTGGGGCTATATTAGCCTGATATATGAGGCATAAAGGGTCAAGAGATATACATTTACGGCAGTGCCCTTGAATCATCAAATTATTGAACGCCTTGGCTGACCTACTGCGGCACTGGGTTTTGTACAGGGGTTGCTAGCAATTCGTGCGCTACGGTGGCGGAGCTTTAGATCAAACTGCAACTGCAACAATATCATTAACAACAACTCAACAAGCCATTCCCAAGGGATCCAAGTAACCCAATGTAGGCAATATTTACCAACATTACGGACCTATAGAGGAATTGTTTGTATACTTGGACTTCTATGCGGAAAGGCTACATCACGAAGCCCTGAAGTCGATCCCCAAAACATTCAGTCATAGACCCTAAACCCTAAACCCTAGCACCCAAAACTCTCCGAACTCTGAACCGTGAACAACGAACCCCAAACCCCGAAATCCTGCAACCCAAACCCTACACCCCGACCCCTGCAGGGTTCAGGGCTTAAGGTTCCCAAACCACCCAAAAGCCGAGCTACACCAAACACTCAGCCCAGTCAGAGCGATGATGGCGATGGGCCAATGGTCATCTGCAAGGGTCGCGGGCAGATGGCGAGGGGCAAATCTAGCACCACCTTTGGCCCTTGAGCTCCAACAATAAACCCCCCCCCCCCCCCCTCCCACAGAATGAACCTTCCATCCCCCTTCATTTAACAAAACAAATCATTTCCTCCTAATGCACATGATAGTACACTGGGATCAACACCAAGTTTCTGGGTCTACAGGCTTGCGTGCATAGCCCCTATATGACCCCTATACTACTTGCTGTTCCTTGGGTAAGCAGGGAGACACTAGCCCTATCCATGCCAGCATGTATGGGTTATATTCTTCTCAGAAACTTCTATAAGTAAACGGAAACTAAAACCTGATTGTGCGCTGGGGACATTCGTCTCCTCCCATATAGAATGCTACCGACATGAGCTATAGTCTAAAATCCCAGTATCCCCTCAATAACCCCTTCTAGTGCTCCCCTATATAAATCCCTATATAAGGGTTTAGACTATGGCCCACATAGGCCCAGACAGGGTTAGCCTGCCCAGCACGTAAGATCTGGATGAGGCAGTAGGCGCTGCTTCACGCCGCCCTGCCAGGAGGACATGGGGGAGTTTAGGGCTTAGGATACCCTAAACCATCCCAAACCCTTAACCCTAAACCCTGAACCAGAAACCCTGTATCCTGACCCTGAAGCAGCCTAAGGCCGTACCCTTAAAAGGCTTCCCCCATATGGCCTTAATATAGCCCTTCTATAGTCCCCCTAAGTCCTTGAAAAGGATCCCGAAACCCGGGGGTACAACCCTACGTACTAGTCTCAAACCCTTGAAGCAAGGGGGTTCAGCGAGCAACTTACCTTTGGTTAGCTAGGAATGCAGGAAGGATGAGAGGAATGTACGTAGTGAAAAAATGGGGGGGGGGTGCAGAAAGTTTCCGTGTAAAGATAGTTTTGAGAAGCTCCCGATGGCTGCGGGCAGTCCAGGGCACTCCAGCTTTAGACTATCAACAGTGGTGACAGGGGAAAAGGCTTACCGTACGGTTTAGGGTTTAGGATTTAGGGGTCTACAAGTTTAGGGTTGTTACTGAAAACCTCTAGCCGCATGCGGAAAGCAAAGTCCTCGATCAAAATCCAAAACCCTGAAGATTGAATGTTAAGTCCTATACTCTGACGAGGCGCGCGTTATACTTTGAGGTTTAGGGCTTAAGGATTCGGGCTTGAACTATGGAGCTTAGGGCTTAAACTATTGGGAGGGGTTCAGAGCATGGACGGCCCGCTATTCGGGAACCCCCAAAAAAAGAATGATGGAATCTTGGGGTCTATACGCGCCAGCATTTCACGGGTCCCCTTCCCTTCCCCCCATCCCGACCACAATGGCCAATGCAATATGGTGAACCCAATGCCCCCGCCCCTCATCCTGGTCGTGTGGTCCTGTGGTCTGGATGTTGTGATGTAGAATAAGTTTACAGAAGGTTACGATATGCTACGATGCTTAGAGCATTTCTATTACGTTTATCGAATACTGACATGAGGCTTCATGGGTTTTAGGTTTTCTGAAGGCTTTCCAGGGGGTTTATAACGTTCACAAAGGTTCTATAGAGTTTTCTACCGGGCTTCTAGAGATAGAGGGTTGTCAAAGGGTTTACGAAGGCATTAGAGAGTTTAATAGAAGGCTCACAGAGGTCCACAGCTGCTATAGTAGGTTTGTAAGGTTTGTAAGTTAAAGAGCTTTCTGGAAACTTTTTCGAGGATTGGTAAAGGTTGTATTGTATATAGTGTTACTGGGAGCTTACAGAGGTACCCCCCCTGTGCCTGTGGCTCATGGTCTGGGTCCTTTAACGAGGATTTCTATAAGGTGATGGTTTGGAGCGGTTGTACGGAGAATGTAGATATGGGCCCATCCCTAGATGGGGACCACACCACAGGCAGGGGAACTAGAAACGCGGAGTGCGGATGCAAATTTATGTACATACACATATTGCGGCACCCTATCTGTAAATACTTCCCGGTACACAGCAGTTAAAACAACAACTAAAAACCGGTTCCCACGTAAGAACTGCCATTGATTCTCGTTTTGTCTCGTCAGTTGGCATTGCAGGACGGAGCTGTGGCAGGAACATGCTGAAGCAATGGCTTTGCACTCCACCTGTTCGCCATTTTCTCCAGGAACTGGCAAGTGCCAACTTAATTAATCAAGGAACCAAGACCACATGGCAATCTCTCAACATTACAAATCCTTTGGGCTGTTCAGGTTGCGAGGATCGAGATATCAGAGGTGGCCACTCAGGCAACCACCCCCACAACAAATACAAACAAGTAGCTTTCCACGTGCTCTTTTGGCTCCCGCCCGCCTGCTTGAAATCCTGCAGGATGTGCCCCTCACCCCTCAAACTAGGAAACCGAAATCCTTAATATGCCCTTTCCTGAACCCCCAAAAAAAACATGAAATAATCTAGTTTTACCTACCTTTGGGTCTAGGTAATTAACCAAAAAGCCCTCAGTCGAGGTCCACAACCCCCAGTGTGAACCTGAGGAAAATCCGCCGAGGCGAAGCTTGCATCGCAGCCGGAGCTCAGTGGGGAGCGCTAAACCCCAAAACTGTTTCGTGTTAACTTATACCGTTTAGGGTTTAGGAGTTAGGGTTTAGGGGGGACTCAGCAAGTAGGTTAATAACCCCTATAACCCATATAATAACCCTACTTATCCCCCTTATTCACCCACTTACTGAGTCCCTGTGACCCTCCAAGTATAGGGTTTAGGGAACCCAAAGCGCTAAGCCTGAAAACCTTGAATCCTACCCTAAACCCTGCAACCCGAAAACCACCCTCGGGGTCCTTGGTCCCTGAACCCTATAAGCCATAAGCCCTGAACCCTGATCCTTACACCCTGACGCCTAGACCTTATGCACCCTAAACCGAGCTTGCAGCTTGTAATCATTTCATATTGATACTAAATCCCCCCCTCCCGCCCGATACTATTAAGTATTCTTCCATAAGAGACTTTAAACATTGGAGGCCGTCTTAAAAAGTTGGAAGGTTCTTCAACATTAGCCCTAGACCCTATATAAGATAGTACTTTGCACTTCTTTTCCATTCCTCTGTATACCCTACATAATCCCTCTTAAAGGGAGGGGTCATTACTTTGTACTAGACCCCAAACCCGAAACCCTGAACCCAAAACCCCATGGCCTAAACCCTAAGCCGAAAACCATCAATCCCAAACCCTAAATCCAGAACCCTAAACTCTAAATCCTGACAGTCCTAAAAACCCTAAGACCTCAAAGTCCTAAAAAGTCTAATGTAATTCGTATGCCCCTTTGCGCTGGCCTACCAGCGTGGCAACTGTACAGATGATCTGCCTGCTGAAAGAGTAAAACCTGTAGGTAGCTAGCTTTGCTCTCTACTCTAAGAACTCAAAGTCCTAAAAACCCTAAGAACTCTAAAAACCCTAGCGTCAGGGGAATTACTGCGCTCAGGCCGTTGGTGCAAGGCGGAGCTCAGAAGTGGCTGCGGTCGAACACGTCCTCCACCTAACAAGGCCGCTTAGGGCTTCAGGGGGTTCCAGGGTTTTAGGTTATATAGAGGTTATACAGGGATAATGGAAAATAAAACGAAAACTACGATAATGGGGTTGGTGAAAGGGTTCAGGGTTTTAGTGGTTTATGGTTTAGGGTTTCAGGGTTCTAGGGTTGTAGGGTTAAAGGTTTTAGGGGGTTTAGGGCTTCAGGGGGTTTAGTGTTTAGGGTGAAAGGGTTTAGGGTTTTAGGGGTTTAGGGCTTAAGGTTTTAGGGTTTAGGGGGTTTAGGGTTCTAGGGTTTTAGGTTTTAAGGTTTAGGGTTTTAGGGGTTTAGGGTTTTAGGGGTTTAGGGTTTTAGGTTTTAAGGTTTTAGGGTTTTAGGGTTTAACGTTTTAAGGTTTAGGGTTTTAGGGGTCCAGGGTTTTAGGGGTTCATGGTTTTAGGGTTTTAGGGTTTTAGGGTCTAGGGTTTAAGGGTTTATGGTTAAAGGGTTTACGGGTTGTTGGGATTATATAGGGATTATGTAGGGATAATGGACAATTGAATGGAAACTACTGCCTGACAAGGTAGCTATGGGTATATTACCCAATACTGGAAAATCAAATGGAAAAGACGATGGAACATGAAACGGAAACTAGGATTATGTAGGTTTAGGTTTTTATTGGGGCTATATTGGGATAATGGAAAAGAACATGGAAACTCCTTTTTAGGGTTCCCTCGACCTGACCAGGCCACTTTGGGTTTAGGGTTTAGGGGTTTAGGGTTTCGAGGTTTAGAGGTTTACAGGTGTGGTGTTGAGGGGTTGGGGGTTTAGGCGTTTTGGGCTCAGGGGGTAAGGTATAGGGTTTCAGGTGTAGGGGCTTAGGACTTAGACATCCTGCATCTGACCAAGTGTCTCTCATGTCAACCGCCCATACATACTTCCCCAAACTGTCATGGCTGGTTAACTGTACAAAAACCCTTCTTGAGCGCATAGCCCTTTTGGTAGGTCCCCTTCTGCGGTTCCGCCACGGCTCAGGGAAGAGTAGGGGGACAAAGCTTCCACTTTCGAATTTAGGGTCCTATGTGTACGGATGCATGCACATATGTTTGCATGCATGCGTGCAATCAGCGGCAGCAGTGGTCAACTGGACCTTTCAATACAAAAAAAAGATGATGAGTATGCATGGTATGTATGTATGTATGTATGTATGTATGTAGGTAGGTAGGTAGGTAGGTAGGTATCCATGTATCTACGCTTGCAAGCCGACCTTTGTGGAAGAAATGGAGGTTCCCTTGTGGTGCTTAGGACCATCATCTGCCAACATGTGCAATAAACCTGTACTTTTCGGCCTGGTCCCGGGTATATGCTGATAGGTGATATAATTACTGGGGGCCTTTCTGCGCGCAAAACAAATGTACATGCTGCATCTAGGACCCGAGTGTACGCCACTGTGCCGTAGAAGATCACTGGCCGATATGGCGCCTGGGCTCTGGGAAAGACGCCGGGGCTTGAGGTTTGGGGTTTAGGGCTGGAAGGGCCTCAGAGCTTTCACGTATGCGGGTCTGTCTTTGGCATTCAGGCTTCCAGAAGACGAGCCACCACTTTGGAGAATGTAGAGGACCCGGCTGGTGAGAATTTCCTGCAAAGGTTGGGAATAGCCTGAACTCCAAACCGTATAGTCCTCCTTAAGTAGATAGAATATGGGGTATATGGGGATCTTATTAAAGCATACCCGAAGCCATATTCTATCTACTTAAGGGGGACTGTAATCCTAAACCCTAATTACAAGGGCCTTTTTACTAGCTAGACACAATACACGCCCTTAAGCTGACATGAGATCGAGAAAGGTGAACATGGACTAATGTCCATTTGCAATTTAGGGTTTAGTGTTTTGGGTTTAGGGTTTGCAAGGGGGCCCTCTGGTTCCCTCTCGGGCCTTGCTTGAGTTTGTTTAAAAGAGGAGGAGTAGGACGTGTGCAGTCTCCTTCCAGTGAGTTCTTGATGGGATGATGACCTTGAGCTCAGAACCCGAAACCTCCGCATTCCAATTCCAAAACCCCGAACTCTACATTCAGATCCCAATTCATAAGCCATCAGCCTTATGTAGGGGATTATAATAATACCCCCCCCCAAAGGTACGCCCCCCAGATTTAGAACCCTGTTATGTTAGGCCATATGAAGCCTTACCTCAAACCCTGGGGGCGGGGGTAATAACCCTAAACCCTAAACCCTAAAGCTTAAAACCCTAAACCCTAAACCCTAAAATAAAAGCCTAAACCCTAAACCCTAAAATAAAAGCCTAAACCCTAAACCTTAAAACCCTAAACCCTAAACCCTAAAACCCTAAACTCTAAACCCTTATTGTAAGAAACCAAACCATCAGATCGCCAAGGACTGAAACCAGCCCCACCCGCCGCCCAAAACTACAGCCCCTATCTAAATCTGTAAATAACTGGAATGAAGATGTTTTAGTATATAGTGGCATTATGCTGCAAGTATATCTGAATCGCTGTACAATAGTACCTGGACCTCAAAATATAGCAAGAGCAATACAATAGTACCCGGACCTCAAATGTAGGAAAAGCAAGTGCCTTACAAGAGCAGGAAAAGACAGGAGCAGCCTTGCTCCAAAGGCTATGCATATTGCCGTTCAGGTATCCAGACAGACCTGTATAAGTCCATAATGTCCCTGTATACAATCTCACCTGAACCCTAGACATCCCTCTGAACCTCGTTTAACGGACCTACCACAGGGTTTAGGGTTTAGGGTTACCTAGTAAGCCAAGTTATAACCAACGCGCCCTTCCCTGTAGAACAAAAACAGCCGAGGTGCCTCGGGATTGATGCCGCAATCTTCGAGCTTCAGTTCGCACATGACCTGCGCGCCCATTCCATCCTCCTCACCATGTGCTTCGCTGTTGTCAGATGAAAAGGGGATTACTCATAGCCACCCAAACCCTAAAATTGGAGCCCTACTAGTACTATATGTAATAGAGTGTCATAGACATAGGGCCCTCATTCTAGGACTAGGGTAACTAAAGCTCGTTCATTGTGGCTTTAGGATGACCGGCATTTTCGTAGAGCTTAGGGTCTAGGCTTTGGCGCTCAGTGTTTCTTCAACTCTTGGCTTTAGGGATGTTTGGGTCAACTAGCCGCACGTAAAAGCTTTCCTCTGGACCTTGCCTTGTATGTAGCTCCTGGCAGATTTTTCTGGCTGCTTGTTAAAGTCTTAAAGTCTTTACAAAGAGCTGGGTTGGCCACTAAAACCCTTTGACAAATACTAGTATATAGCGTCCCTTATTAAAGCCATTAGGGAAAATATCAAATATCGCAGGGGCCTACCCAGAGAGGCACCATCAAACTATATAGGCATGGAACGGAATTTTGGAATACTCCAAAAAATGTTCTGGTGGCTGGGCAAGGCTCTCCAGCATGGATCATCATTCTCGTCCCGGCAGGCGTGCGAGCGAACGACACCTGGTAGCCCGGGGGGCTTCAGCATTGCAATCCTAAACCCTAAACGAAGCGTGAAATTACAGGGTGTAGCCCTAAACCCTATAAACCGTAAACCCTAAACCCTAAAAACTAAACCCTAGACCCTAAACCCCCACACCCATGTTTGGGTGTAGCATGTTCATCCGTGGTGTCTGCCTGATATCATGCTCATCACATCTCTCAACCTAAGCGCTGTTTCTCTGGGAATTGCTGCGTAACCCAGAGGGTCCATGTACCCAATAATTAGGTACTTGGGATTTGAGTAATAGTAATTGTGGTACAGGTTGGGGGTAAGTATATGATTGTTTGGTACTTGGACCCTTAGGGTAACTTGGCATATCCTTCAGAGGAACACCTGCTATCAGCTTGTACTCGACAAATATTCCTAGGGCGCCTATGGCCTATGGGCTTGCTGTTTCAAGCAAGACCCACTTGCGACCACCACCGCCGCTCTATCCTTTTCAGCACCGTGAACTTAGAGGCCTCGTCATCGTACACATTTGCAATTTGGGGTTCAGTGTAGGTTGATGATTGGGAGGCTTGTAGAGGCATTAAGATATTCACAGGCAGCTGTTTGGACATCTCTATCTTTCCTGAAGGGGCCTTGGTTTCCCCGTGTAAACCCTAAACTAGGATATCCAGGGTCCAAGAGGGGTTAGCGTAAGAGGACCCTAAGGTCATCCTTAGTTCCCCTTATAAAAAGGGAGGCGGGTCCACCTAAACTGTAGTACCTAATAACCATACACTTACCTAAAACCTATACCAAAAGCACTATTACCCAAATCCCAAGTGCTTAATTATTGGGTACATGGACCCTCTGGGTTATGAGACGCAGAGAACAACTTCCTCGGAAAGTACCTGAAGACCCGGCACTGTTCTTACCATCAAGGCAAAACGCGCCGACCGACACCGCTTGTTCCCGTAGCCTCAGGGTTTAGGGTAACCATGGAAAAGGTCTAGGGTTATAAGGTTTAGGGTTTAGGGTCACATGCGGCCCTGGCAACTGGAGTGGCACCTGGAAGTGCGCTTAAGGTGATTTACGGAACGCGTATTACAACGCAGGTGTCTACGAGTACATCCCAATAGCCTCTAGGCAAACCCCAAGGGTCCAAGGACCCAAATAATAGGGTTTTAGGGCACAAATACCATGAATACTATAGTAGTTGGGCCCTAAAACCCTATCATTTGGGTCCTTGGACTTTTAGGGAAATGCCCAAATTCCACAAAGACTACGAAACCAAAGTCTGTACATACACCCCAAAACCAGGCCTAGACTTTCACGCGCCTGGACCCAGCTGATGGGTCGGGGAGACCAGATGCTCCAGTCAGCATTGCAAGATTTCTGGAAGTCGCCGCCAACGACGACTTGGCAGAGGAAAGCCTGAGCTCCGCTAGGGTTTATAGGGTTTAGGGGCAGGGCCGTTAGGTTTATCTACGATTATATGGGGGTATATGGGGGTACTTAAGGATTATACCGGAAAATGGAAAGTGCCAAGGAGCCTAAACCCCGATCACACCTCGAAACCCAGACGAGCAACCTGCGGATCAGTGACCGGGTTGCCTCCTTCGAACTGACACTGCGTCAGGACGAGGAACACTCCTCAGCCGTGCTAACTGCTAGGGTTTTGTGGGGTTTGGCTTATAGGGTGTAGGGTTTAGCGTCTCGGGTTAAACGCCAGAAACAAACCCAAAGCCCCCCCCAATAAAAACTTTGCATAAGGCGACTATTCGAAACTTAATTCCTTTGGAACCAGAACCCTCAACCCAACCTGAACCCTTTAGCACTAAACCTTGGAAACCTACATCCTTCAACCCTAAATCCTGAATCCTCAACACTGAGCCGTCTAACCCTAATTACACCCTAAACCCTAAACCTCAAACCACACTTCTGCGCTTCAGGTACGGGCTTCTGGCTGGTTCAAGAGCTACAGAGTCCTACACATATGAGATTGGGACAGCTTTCGGTTCCCTATAGGCTTAGCGACCGTTTAGAGTTCAGAGTATTATGTGCCGAAATCGGCGAATCTGGGAAGCCGAGATACAAACTTCCCCGTTTTCTACATGCCATTCCAACGCTAAGATGCTCGGCGTAGCTAAGCCCTCAACTCCGTAAAGCTCAAAAGTTCTGAACCATCTTTAGCGGCGCTAAGCCCCAAACCCTAAACCCTAAATCCTAAGCCCTAAACCCTAAACCCTATACCCTAAACCCTCAACCCTCAACCCACACCCTCAAACCCCACACCCTGTTGGGAACTTCGAGAGCCACTGCCACCAGGCATCCTTCTGCCAAAGCTGGGGGGACTTCAACAGTCTTTGGCCAGGACCTGTCGCCTGCTTCTGAGTTGAGGGTTTAAGGTTTTGGATTTAGGGTATAGGGTTTGGGGTTTAGCGCATAGGGTTTAGGGTTCAGGGTTTAGGGCATTGGGTTTGGGGATTCTTGGGGTCGTTTCCTGAGGGTCCGTATAGTAAGGATTGTAGTCTTTTCTGGATGGTTACATAGGGGGGGGGGGACCAATTTGTTTTGGAGGAGTAGGATCCATAGACTACATAGTTGTGGTCGATGGGCAGGGTTGGAGGGCGGAGGATTGCAGTCTAAAGTATGGGTTTGAATTTGGGGTCTATAGTGCTTAGGAATTTAATCAGTGTAGGGGCTTAAGGTTGGGCTAAAAGTGTTAAAAGCTAGCTTTCGATCTTCTCTGGCAAGTGCTGAGGCCTTTGGCTATGTATCTTGCGACGCTTAACCAGAAGCTCATCAGTTGGACGCGGCTGAGACTTTCCTGGGCAAAAATATGACAAACTTAACTTTTCAGGGGTGGATCGTCTACGTGGGGTTAGAAGCACTATCTACCGAGACTGTTGCGTTAAGCTGGCCATGTCATGATAATTCCAAAGCCTGACAGTCACTGAATGTGGGGGCCACTTGTTACGTGAGCTACAGGCGTTGTATTTCCTACATAATTTCATGGACATGGGTTCCTTATTCGGGACTATATATTACAGGGACTATACAAAGCTACAAGAGGAACCCCTGTGTCCACTGTTAAGGGTCCCTGAACAAGGCGAATACTGATATTTTTTCTATGTAAGCCGTCGCTTGGGGTGAGGCCGGGTCATGTCGTGAAAATTCCCCCAGGCGTTTTGGTGCAAATGCCCTCTGAGCGACCTCGCGCGCTTGGGCTCTTTGGTTCAAAATCTCCGGCATTCACGTTGCTGCGGGCTGAGGGTTTCAGGTTCAGGGTACAGGGTTCAGAGATAAGGGTTGAGGGACTGCGAAGCCCAGAAGTGTTCAACAGCTTCTGTTCACCCTCGAATTGCAGACGCCCTGGCTTCCAGAACCCGAACTCCTACCACACCCCCAACCGAAAACGCCTAACCTCTAACCGCCAAGATCTTCCTCCCGTGGTACCTAAATTTCTGCAGAACCGTAGTATGCTAGAATACCAAACTTCTCAGTCTATAAGGTGCCTAGGATCATGCAGAGCTTCAGCACCTGGATTCCTTATCCTGAGAATTCCTTAACTAGCCGAATTGAAGGGGGACCCTATGAGGGGGTGAGTATAGGGGGAAAGTCCGTAACCCTAAACCCTAAACCTCAAACCCTAAACCTCAAACTAGGGGGAGAGTCAGTATAGGAGGACCCATGAGCTTCAGCATCCGATGTCTCCGCAAGTTGTGTCCCGGCCTACAGACAGCTCCAGGGCCGGCAAAAAAAGCCGATCATCGCTGAAGGCACGGCGGCTTGCGTCGAAAAAAGGGCTCTCCTTCGGGCTGGGTTGCTGTGACAGAAGCACCAAGTATCCCCATCAGTAACGTACGTACTTGCTAAGTGCCCAGGACCGATGGTTTGGCCGGCCGGTTTATACTAATGGCCTTTTGGGTTGTGTTATGGTGTTTTGAAGCCAATATTTTACCTACTTCTGGGGTCCAGGTAGACTTTAGGGCCCAATTTTTTGAAATGTAGAGCCCCGGGTTTAGGTTGGTTGTTACCCTCGCTGCGTGTAGCTTTAGTGACGTTTGCCAGAATGTAGGACTACGGTTCCCGGTCAGCAATACTGAAGGACTCCCCAAAGGATACCTCTAGACTCTTAGGCTTCAGTGTTAGGATTTAGGGCTCAGATACAGCGTTTAGGGCTTAGGGTTTAGGGCTCGGTGTCTAGGCTCATACACCCCACCACCCCGAGACCCCTCATGCTTCGGAAGCATATGCCACCCTCTGATGCTATATGACACACGCAAGTAGGTCCACTTCGGGCACGGGACGCGAGGGGTAACCGATTGCAAGATATGTACAAAACCTGATTTTGAATGCTCCCTTTCCTAAATACAACCCTAATCCAGACACCTGAATTTGAGGATGAAACTTGCCACCATGCAACACTTACATAATTTGCTAGCATAAGTTGCCCCAGTGCATTACTCTCTTTGCAGCCTCTACGTTACACCCTTAACCCTAACCCGCCGACCCTTAATTATGCCCGTATCTTGCAATAGCTCACACTCCCGGGCTCCTCCCCTAAACCCTAAACCCTAAATCCTATATCCTAAACCCTACCCCCTACGCCCCCCCCCCTCCCTGGCTCCTCATGCTTGGGCAAGGGGTTGTGAACCCGCTCCCACTTGGCATCCAGACGAACATTCATGGGCGCAATGCCCACGAAGAGCATGGGGTTGTTGGGCTCGTACCTCGTGGCTGTTGGTTTGTAATGGTTGAGGGTTTAGGGTTTGGGGTATTTAGGGTTCAGGGTTTAGGGTTTAGGGAAATGGGCATGGATCCCAATACCAGTCCCTCTCCAGCAGCCTTCCTCTAGGTCTCGCACAATCCCTACAACCACCGTCAATCCCTGCATGCCCCACTAGCCACCAGTAGGCCTAAGGATTTCTCCAAATCGCGGGTCCATCTTGGGATGTCTGGAGACTCGGTTTAGGGTTGAGGTTCCGCCAGTTATCTGGAGTATTGGGGCGCCGATGACGGGGCAGCATGCATGACCCAGAGCAAACAAAACTCAATTTGTCTTTTCCTGGGCCTGGTTTTTGGGGAGATGTGGGGTGTTGACCTTAGTATTTAGCCCTTTGTGAAAGCGGGAAGGTCTCAATTTTTCATATCCAAGAAATATGTTCATAGACCCTCCATCTAGCCTCTATATACCCTAAATGAGGACCATATACCCCAATCTAAAGGGTACTAGGAAAGTCCTGGTAGCGGTTTCAAGGTCACGATCCTTGAGCCCCCCTTAACCCTCAACTGGGAGATTTGTTCTACAGTCTAAACTCCAACTGTCCCCGCTAATAAGCCCTAGAATAGTCCCCTATATAAGCACCTTTAAGGAGTTTAGGCAACAGCTCATTAAACCCTTTATAAACCCTAAATAATGGCTTCCATTTTCTTTTCCACTATCCCTATATAACCCCAATATAACCACCCCTCTCTATATATATATATATACTTATTATATAGCCCTATATTTAGCCGTTCCCGTGCAATTTCCAGGTTCTTTTCCATTTGCTTCTCCATTGTTGGGGCATATATAACCCCCTTTTAGCTGACTCCTATGTACCCTAAACCCTAAACCCAAAATAATAACGTCCGTTATCTTGTCCATTATCCCTATAAGACCCCAAAATACACCCTATATATGAGCTGCCATTTTTGTTTAGTATTTAGCTCCAACATGCTCCCTAAACCCTAAGCCCTAAACCCTAAAACCTACATAACCCCCTATATGACCCCATTTATAGGAGTTTAGCTGCAATATGTTCATGTTGCGCCGAGAGACTCAGGCAGGTATTGCCAGAGGCCGTCCATGCACAGGAAGGATGCCTCGAAGTTCTCCGTGTTCCTGGGTTTTGAAGGTTTAGAGGTTTAGGGGTTTAGGGATTTAGGGTGTATGGGCTTAGGGGTCTAGGGGTTTAGGAGTTTAGGGGTTTAGGGGTCTAGGGGTTTGGGGGTATCTGGGTTTCGGGTCTAGGGCTTTGGCGGGGTGTGTCCTAAGAATATGGTAGGATATGTACGGATGTGTGGGTGTATGTGGACTGCATGATGACTTCTAGGGGAATATGGCGGGGCGGGGGTATGTGAGAACGTACGGAGATGTATGGTGATGTATCGAGAATCGCCAGACGTTGTGGCGCCGTCGTGCAGCAATCAGGCGCGACCTCAAGGCAAACTTGCGCAGCCCCGCAGCAAGCCACGCGAGTGGAAGCAACCACAAACCCTCACATGAGTTCACACGTCAACAACAAAAAGCCTTGAGCAAACGCGACAACTTTCGACGGCCGTGCAGCCTCCCAGTTGCCAGCATTGGGGGCCTTTTTCAGTGACGGAACCATGAGCACGGTTGACCACTAACCACCTCCAGCCCCCAGTCCATAAGTAGCCCGTCAAACTTCTCAAAAGAAGCTTGTGCTTGATCCATACA